CGTATTTTTTACATATAGACACATAATACCACACAGATATATATATGTATGTATGTATGTATTAGTTCGACTTACCAAACCCAATAGTTTTATTACTTCCTTTCCTGGTTATTCCAGCAAGATCAGACAGTAACACCAAATATAAGGAGATTAGTTTTACTCAAGTATCTTTGACTATGCTCAATCATTTATACTTTCTGTGGGATGTGATAACACTGCTTCTAGTTTTATACTTTAAAATCAGTATATAGAAGTTCTATGTAACAAATAAAATGTGAGGACCATGTAATTTATCAAATCCTGCAGTGTCTCAAATCATTTCAGCATCACGAAAAAGATCATACTGTAAATATGTTTATTTTTCATTTGAATTAAGTTACTATCACTATTAATATTTTAGACGTCATAAATATTTTAGTAGGTTTTCTTTATGTTTATAGACTATTGAAGCTGATGCATAATTTAAGGAGAAAAAATATAAATATATAGGTTCTTATTAAAGCACATAGTCTTAGCCTCTGAAAATGTCCATGAGCATTTTCTGTGAAGATTATTCTATATGAAGTTTATCTTTTCTCTTTACATGTTTACCTTACTTGATTTAATAATTAAATTTGATGGGAAAAATCTTTTGCAAATCTGAGGTTTGAAAGATTTATTATAAGAGAAACAATGCATCACAAGAGACAAATGGGTGAAATTGAGAGACCAGCTTTCTCAGTGGAGTCATGTTTGCACAGTTCCTAAGGGAGGAAGGAATCCTTCCTCCTTAAACACACTGTGTTTCCACCAGAACCAGTTATCTTCCTTACGGAATCCCTCTTATATTACACTTTCTTTTTCGTTCTTCTTACCACAACAAAATAGCAATAGCTCCAGGGTTAAAACATAGGGAGATCTTCTGCCTATTTCTGAATCCATGTGTCCACTTGACCTCCAAGCCGTGACTTTGGTTGCCAGATCTTCAAACATCCAACTGTTTCCCCTCACTCCCCAACCCAATGTGTTATAGAAACTAAAACATTTCCAGATTAACCGGTGCCTTAGCCTTTATAAAGGCAGGAAACAAAAAGACTCCTAGAATTTCTAACTGACTGCCCAATCTAGCCAGACTTGACTTATGTCTTTTTCTCCCCCTTTCTTTTGTTGTTTTTTTTTTCCCTAGCTCAGTCTAAATAGGACTACTGCAATGTCTGGGTTCCAGTATGGCCATGGTCTTTCCAGGTGTGCTGTCTGTTCAGGGATTAATTATTTTCTTATACTGATTATGTTAAGAGTAATGAAAATGAAATCCATCAAACCAGCTCTTCAAATTCTCTTCCTTATGTCCATCTAAACACTATTGTAGAAATATAACCATGGGCTGGAAAAAGGATTCCTCTTTCTGCCTGGCATTCATTCTTAAAGTGCCACAACTTAAAGCACCTTTACCTGTCTCCTGGTTTTCCCTGTGTCCTTTCTATATATCCATAATAGGGAGAAACAGTTTTATCACCCTGACCTTAGCAGTATCACCTCTCATCTACTTAAGTGGGAGCATCAACAATTTTTCCTAATATCCTAATAGGTTTTGTATGACCTGACTCTGCAATCATCAAAGATTGCTTTCTCATTTCATATCTTTTCTATTCCAAATGGTAGGTGATTTCTATCTAAACTGTAATTAACTGCACAACTACTGTACCTAGAAATATAGCAGGCTCTAAATGGATAGTTGAGTGCATCTCAGTGGCTAACTATACCAAAGGGGTTTGCTTCATGATACACTTGTGAGAAAGGAAAAATATTCCAATTCCCATTTTTAAAAAGATTGTTGCAGAGAGTGATTAATCATAGAAGAACACTCAAGGAGTGAACCCAGTTATCAACTTCCAGTAGGATGACTGATTTTTCTAGGATTTATTCAAAGGTTATATTACATAACAAACTCAGTGGCTTTTTAGAAAATTATTTTGGCAAAATAGACCTGGACTTAATATAGAAAAAAGCTTGGGTAAAGCAACAGAGAAAAAAAACAACAATCACAACTGTAAGAAAGCTTATTCAGCCTTGCCAATATAATTTCCTTAAAATTACACTATATTATCTTTTATTTGCTGCATATTTACAATGCATTATCTGTTACTATCTATTATATATTTAAAATACTTTTATATTTATCCCATGTTAAAATAGCGTCATTTTTTTTTACTCACTTGAAACTTTAGTCTGTTAAAGAGTGTGCCACATTTCCATGTGACACCACACTGTAGCTGAAATAGGGTTGACTTTCTCTAACATGCTATAGACTGGAAACAGTCTTCATATAACATACTGCACCTGTTCTCTAAAGATATTATGATGTGATGCATCACACCTTCAGATCCAGTATGTGAAATGCATTTTGATACCCAATCCTGCGATGCGAACAAAATCCAGAAGCACTTGAGCCTCAAGCCTCCTTATATTACCTTTTCTGTGATACCACATTACTGCACAAGATCGATTCTCTTCAGAAATAATCACTTCAGTCCAACAAGCCAGGACGTTTTTCTCCTGTTCTATTTTCTTTAATGCTTAATGTCTAACTTCAGACTATAAACAATGCCAAAGCAGATCCTTTGATTCCATACAATAGATATTCAGATTTTTTTTAATATATCAAAATGTGCTGATTTCCTGTAGATGGAATATTATTCTTTTAACTCACTTCTAAATCCCACTTTTTGTAAGATGCATTCAAATTTCACAAAAGGTATGATAATTACAAGACAAAAATTAATAATTGCACTACATGCACATAGAGAAAACAGTGCTTTCCTCTGACTTATAATTCCATGGATTTTAGAATGACTGTCTTTGGACATAAATCAGCTATCCCAAGCTACTTTTGCAGCAGATATTTAGAGTGATTTTCTTTCCATATTTCCTTCACACCATACTTATATTTTATTATCGTGTGTATGGCTGAAAAAAAGAGCACAGGATCTCATTACTTCCTCTATTTTTCATAATCTTATAAAAAATGCATTCACCTCTGGCCAAACTAAGTGAATCGAGTCATTTTCTGAACTGATTGTTCACTGTCCTTTACCTTCAGGGTCATTTACAGGAAAGCAATATAAGACTAAACTTGCTGGAGCTGCAGGGCACTGTTACATCTTCTTGTGGTGTGTAGCTCACTGCTTGAAGTACAGAATACTGAGGAAAACAAGAATAATTTATTTTTTTTCCCCATTAAAAAGAAATTGTTATTCCAGTTGTATGTTGACTATAAAATCCTAAAATTGATTATAGCCTCTTACTTCATTCCTTTGCAATGGGATGTTTGATGATGCGCTGATCTTTTTTCTCAAAAGCACAAAATTGTTTTTCTATTAGAGCTACTCTTCTATGTTTCCAGTAAGTAGCTAAATGCACACTTCTTTTTCCTTCTATTGTTTCCTTCATACAGAAATAAATTGACCACCCCCCATCAACTGCCCATGGAAGATTTATCTTTAACACAGTCAAACTCAGGGTTAATTTCTGGAGGAACTCTTTGGGAAGAAAGAGAAGGTGATGTCTTTGCTGGATGAGAGCTGATGAATTTTCAACAAGACTTTTCACTGCAGCTTGGCAGGATGTGTCACTCCCTGGACTACATTGGTTTGTAGTGAAAGAAAAGTCCCCGTGAAGGCGAAGGAACAGACCATACTCCTCAATGTGATTGATAGTTAGATGTGAGTCAAGGAGTGCAATCAATCATTGATTGTGTATTGTTGACTGCACACAAAATGTTCAATATCACCTGACATAAATATCTTTGGATTATTAAAATAATATTTAAAGTATTTAAAGTGAATTCATCACCAGTATCTGTTGTTATAAATGGAAAAATATACAGAAAAAGGGCAGCACAAAACAGCATAAAATTTGACACATCTGGAGTGTGTCCCTAAACAGAAAGACCTAGAATTTCCATTTGTGAGAACGTTTTGAATTGAGACAAACTTTGAATATATACTGATTGGGGCAAAAATGCATTCTGTCATTGGCAAAAGCAAACTGCCTCTAGATGCAACTTTAAGGACTTTTCTTTGCTTTAGACTCAAAGTAAAATCTCCTGAGATATGGAAATTATAGCAATAAGTCACCACAGCTGATGAACTTCAGCAAAGGTAAAACCTGGGATTTGGAAGATTAAAAGCAGAAGAAAAACGTTCTCTGCATCACAAATGCTAAAATGCATTTACTTGGAAAACTAATTGAAAACAAAGAAGCAATTGGTGCTGCCTCATGAAACATTCTCTACAAGTTAAACCTGATCTGAATGTATCCCTCAACATGCAGTTTCTCAAAATCAGCTTCTTTTTACAAACACATTTTAATATAAGTTTTATTATATATAATTCTGATTTTTTTTTCAACTCAGAAGTTTCATAGATAGAAACAGACATGGTGAACATGGGGAAACAAGGCTTACTATTGCTTATTTTTAATCGGGGTTAAATCAGCAAGATTGCATTCCTCACCAAGGGATTTCCCATGGACAAAGTTTCTTGCAGGTATTAGAAAAAAATGCATGTGGAGAAGGCATCAGTGGCTACTACATCATAAGCTTTAGGAAGAGCATTAGCGCATTAGCTTTGAGATTCATCTTGCCTCACTTTAAATATCAAGAGTTTAAATGTCAAAGTTTTCACCACTGAGAACGAAGATGTGCATCCTTTAAGGGATTTTCCACGTTTCTTATCAAACTGGGGATAAATACAGGAAATCTGCATATACTTGACTTTAATTCTCCCAATTTAATAAATGGGAAACCAGTAGTTTCCTGGACCCATAATGCTTGTGCTAGTATCTGAATTGCCTTTATTACTTTCTTTCTCCCTTTGCCTTCCTCCTGTTTGGGTTTATACATTTATGGCATTTTGCCTTCAACTACAAAAAAACATTGTGAAGAAGAGCCATCACACTGAAATCTCCTGAGGAGATTAACAATTAAATATACCAAGTGTCCTGGGTTCCGCAGTAGCAGTGTCAGGATGGCCGAGTGGTCTAAGGCGCCAGACTCAAGGCGGTGTAAGCCTTCCCATAGCGGGGTTGGGTATTCTGGTCTCCGTATGGAGGCGTGGGTTCGAATCCCACTTCTTTTAAAAGAACTGTCGTGGTTTAAACCCAGTCAGGTAGCTTGTTCACTCACTCCCAGTGAGTGGTGCCGAGCTGACAACAATCGAGGTCCGTGTCCGTCTCCCCCCCCTGTCCGTCTTCCCGGAGGAACGGGGAGGAGGATCGAGAGAGTGCAACTCCTACGGGTTTGCAACAAATCACCACCGCTACTATCAGCTACAACAATGATAAGGGAAAATAACAAGGGAAAGAATACGATACCACCGGCCAAGAGAAAAATAACTCCCACCCCTTGACGTGCTGTGGTATGGAACCTCCCCGGGTCAGGCGCCCCGTCTCTGCTTCCTCACAGCCTCCCCTCCTCCCTGGCAGAGCATGAGCCTCACAGAGTCCTTGGCCAAACCTAAACATCACTATCAGCTCTGTTCCCAAGCTGAAAGTCAAAACACTGCACTGCACCAGCTACCAAGAAGGGGAAAAATGAGTGCTACTGCTGAACCCAGGACATTATCCACCCCTTATTCCATACCATTCACGTCATGCCCGGGGTGGGGGGTAACTGGGAATTACCCGGAAGGACAGGGGCTTCCGGGTGGAGCTCGTTTCTCTTGGCCGGTGGTATCGTATTCTCTTCCCTTGTTATTTTCCCTTATCATTGTTGTAGCTGATAGTAGCGGTGGTGATTTGTTGCTGGACAGCCATGAGTGGCAGGGTGTGTGGGATAGTATGGGCAAGTATCTAGGTCAGTGGGCCCCTCCAGTATTTTGGAATTTCACTACCGAACAACTGCAAAATCCAGAAGAATTAGTAAAACACTTAAATGAGGTGTGTGGTCATTCTGGCCATACCAGAGATGGACAAATCACGGCAACGTGCTGGGGCTTGGCCTATGCTTACAGGGCCTTGTTCAACACTATCCAGCGCCTTCAAAAGGAAAAGAATGTCGGCGGATCTGAGGGCAAAGCAACAGTCGCTACTCAAACTTTGGCTGCAATGAACAGCACAGCTGTCCCAGTGGCAAGTACAGCAGCTGCTCAAACTTCAACTGCAACAGACAGCGCGGTTACCCCAGCTCCAAGCACAGTAGCTACACCACCCCCAGTAACAAGTACAGTTGCTACTCAAACCGTGATAATCACTGCAGCCAAACCAGAGGACCAATTCGTACCAATATCAGTTGCCCCTGTACGCAAGAGAACAAGCAAAAAGGAGGCAAAAAGGGTGAAGCGAGATGAAGAACCAATGAATTCACCACCCGGTCCAGAATCTGATCAGGAGTCATCATCACATGACGAAGAAGAAGAAGAAGAGGTAACTTCTCGACCTCGGACTTCAACCGAGCTGCGGAATATGCGAAAAGATTTTACCCGTCAACCAGGGGAGCACATCATCACCTGGTTACTCCGATGATGGGACAATGGGGCTGATGGTCACGAACTAGAAGGTACAGAAGCCAAGCAGCTGGGATCACTTGCTAGAAAAGGGGGGGAAGTGAGCGAACGAGTTACCTGACTGGGTTTAAACCACGACACCAAGACATCTCCCATTTCTTTCTGGGATGGAGTGACAAAGCAAAGAGGCGTGAGCAAATTAACATGAAAACAGGAGATAAAAGGACGGATGGATTCATAAGAGTAGAAGGAACTGGATCAGAAATGCACTAAAAGACCTTACAGGTTTTATCATTTTTGCTGAATGTGCAAGTTGTCATAAAAACCTGTTATTTTTACCAACCTACTTTGATTTAAAAGCTTGATTTTTTTTTTTATTTTTATATTTTCAGAATGAAGGAAGTTTGCTTCTTTTTTTCTCCTTGAAATGATGTAATGACTTTTATACCCTAAAATTGAATTTGAACAAATGTGTTTGATACTGGATGTTTCAAAATTTATCCAAAGTAGTCCAAGGAATCATTCACTTTTAATTTTATATGTTTGTGTGTGGAAAGCAGGGATGAAATCAGCCCCAAACCTCTGCCTTTTGGCTGGGAGAGAAATATATGCCTTGTTGCATGACAGAAAATCCGATGAAATAAAACTGTAATCTGGATCCTGATCCTCCAAGTGTTGAAATAAAACCCTTTTGGAACTTCCTGAAACAGCAGTAAGTCTACAGAGTTAAACTGCAGGCAGCACACACGGTATATAGAGTTTGCCAAAGGTGGAGTGGTTACATTGCATGATCACAACATAAGGTCCTGTTTGGCCAGAATGCAGCTAACTGCACATTTTCACAAGCCAAAAAGTCAAGGAACATGACACCTCAATATAAGTTAGGAAAATGGACAGTGAGTCAGATGCTGCATGGGTGGCTATCTACACTGAAGTGTTATTGACAGGAGGAGCTTGAAACCAATGCAGAACAATCGTTACTTGCTTGCTGTTATATACAGCAAGAGTTTTCTAGACCATACACTCTCTATTGGCTCTTTTTAAGCTTCCAGGCATTTCCAATGGAGAGGTTTCTAATCCTCAAAACCAGGTTTGTAACCACCCTTTGCTGCATGCTCCGCAGACTAGAATCACCTTTTCACACCTAACAGTAGCTGAGTTAGTCATGCCACCGACATATAAACAGAGAAGGTGATTCAATATCACACACCACTTAAGATCTGCTCCTCTGGAGAGAATGAGAAAGGGAGCCACTATTTGTCTCTTCTTCTTTTTCCTCTCATGGTCTGTGGACTGAACTTATTTATGGGTTAAATTTAAGCGGAAAGTAATTATATCGTTCTTTTTCCCCCTCATTTTTTCTTTCATTTTTTTTTCTTTAAAATTCTGCTCAGAGATATGTTTGTCTAGTACAGTAACCATTTTGAAGCATGGCTTGAAGAACTGAGTGTGTTTCTTGGCTTGTATCAGATTAACTTTTGGGAGGATGAGTCAGGAACATAACAAGGAAGCTGAAATGAGGTTTGTTCAGTGATATATATTCAGAAACATGGTGAGACACAGTCACGCAGACAGGGAAGAGGCTGGCCAGCCTTTTCATCCTCGCAGACATATGCAAATCCAGGGAAGGTCAAATTGAGTTTTAGCTTCATCCTTTGTGGATGTTTGTCCTCATCACAAAACCAAATGGAATTTGATTCAATTGAGTGGAAAGGCAGAAATAACACATCACGAACCGCAGCTGAAATGCATTGGCAGCAGTATCTAGGAAGCATGTAAGACATCTGCACTGTCCTTTAGCAAGCCTTTATTGTCAGCCTTTCAGTTTACTCGAACCCAACGCCTCATCAAATCAACTGAAATACATTTCCAAGATAGGAAAAAAGGAAAAAAAAATATATATATAAACTGATGGCAACAATACTTCCTAAATGGCAAAAAAAAAACCCACAAAACAAAACAAAAAAACAACTGAGGGAAAAAAGAAAGGAAAAGAAAAATCTATTCTTGAAATTACATACTTAGAAGGCAAATAGAGGAGAGGAAGGAGCAAAAGCACTAAAGAAATGCTGAACACACTCTCTCAGCAAAGTACCCAGACCAGGCTGTCTTGTGGGAATTTTTATTAGTTCTGAAATTAGAAGCAGGGCACTGGGGTTGGGGAGAGGGGAGTGTCTCAAACCAGCTGCAGCTCATTTTAATTAAGGGCTAATTAGCAAGTAAAGCCTGCTGGAAGTGGGAGAAGTCTGTGTCCCTGTGTAATACGGAGCAGTTCACTGAAGCGGGTTTTGAGAGTTTAGGGATACTGGCAGATGGGAGAAGAAAAGTGATTAAAATTGCTTGAGTACTTCTATGGGTATTTTCCTTGTTTGCTTAGAAACTCCTGCTCTTGTAAGAGAAAAAGGTTAAAGATGAAGGTCTTTAGGTGTCAGGTGTAGAGATTTAGTTTTCTAAATCTATTATTAATTGAAGCTGATGAGATTTACACCCCACCCCCTGTTCTTTTTTCCTTATTTCCTATGCTAGTTATTTAGGCATGAAGTGCCAGGTAACACCTCTTTTTCTGCAATATCTAAAAATGATAGCTGTTTTCTTCTAGTAATGGGATATTTATGAATTGCCTGAGTATCTGTAATCTGCACCTTCTCACAAAACATGGTCTGTGTTTACAAGACGTACCTTAATTTTGGTTTATTTAAATCTAATTCACTTTAGATGTTAGATCTTAATATGTGCCTAGGATTCCTGCTGCTCTGAATTCTACTTATTAGAGGTACACAAAAGGATAAGAAAAGCTAACTAGGAAAAACCCCACCGGCTTGTTTAGTCATTTGAGCTTCAGTAGAGCTACTTTTCTGAATAATAGTAGCAGAGGTATTCCCTGTCTAAGAATGATGATGTCTTGAGTTCTGTATGTGTATTTAGAAAGAGCATACTTGCTTGGTCTAGCTATCCTTTATTGCTCCCTAAACTCTTAATCTGAGGATGGTATATATCAGAAAAGTCAGTGTTATTGAACAGCATAAAGCAGTGAATAAGAACCTTTTAACCTTAATGTTGTCTGACCTGTCTGCAGACCAGCTGGGTGGAGTGACACCAACTCCTATGGCATCTTAATGGGAATAATACTTCTGTATAAAACTTAAATCCCTTGGGGCTGTGCTATCAATGTATTTCCCAGTGTTTAATAATATTAGGAACCAACTGACCTAGATGAGAATGTTTTTAATGACTTCAAAATGGCAGATGTTGGGTTCACCTTGTTAGGGCTGAAGAAAGAGGGAGGAGGTCAGAAAATAACATGAAGGGAAATAAACCTCCTAAACTTCAGTTGTTTGGAACATAGGAACCTTTTTTGTCAATACAGAGGTGCACAGAGAGATGTGTGAATATAGGGTGGATGAAAAACTAGCTGAACTGAAAGGATAATGGCTAATGCTTTGAATTTCAAGCAGGAGATGTTCAGTGGTCTTTTTCTGAGGGTCAGTACTGGCACTGCTATTGTTTAACATCTTCATGAAAATCAGAAGCAGTGCTGGCTCCCCATCTGATCCTTCTTCAAGCACTATGTGAGTGTGACTCCTGATGTGGTTGTTCCAGGTATTGTAGTGGTTCTTTACTGCACTCTCTATGTTCTGTACCC